GAGTGGGAAAACAGAAGAACTGACATACCAGTAAGACTGCTTTGCAAGTTAGTAACAAATGCAAGATTAGAAGCAGAGTAAAAAGAAACAAAAGCAATTAAAAGCTTGAAGTCAGAAGCAGAAATTACAATTTATAATTGGACTTATTTTTGGAAAAGACTAAAAACAACTAAGGGAATATACTACACAATAAGAAGAAGCAGCTTCAGAAGAAATACATTTATTAAGTGCATAATAGATAAACTTCTGACATTAGAAGAACTTAATAGAAGGAGGCCAAATATATATACAACAGTAGAATACCAAATATGCCAAGATAAAGTAAAAGAGACACAAACACACTTGGCAGCATATAAAGGGCAAAGAAATCTCCGAAAGAGAATCCAAAAAGTAACTATTGTAATAGCATAAAAGAAGTTAAAGGAAAAAGAAAAGATTTGGATTCCTTTATACATGTTGTATACAGCACTCTTCAAAAAAACAGAGACAGTAAAATTAAAATAAGAGAAGCATTAATAAAAGACTTAATTCTAAAAGAAATGCAAGACAAACTAGCAAAGCTATTAAACACAAGATCAAGACAGTAGTTTGCAAATACAGTAGCAATAACAGTCTAGAACATATTCTATAAACTAGTATAGAAAATATGTTGTGAAAAAATTATCGAATGAGAGAAAAAAAGTGGAATAACAGGTAAAATTAAAAGGAAAAAAGTTAAAAAGTTAAAGAAACCAAAAAAATAAGAAAAAACAAATCAGAAAAAAAGAGAAGAGAAAAAAAAGAAATAAGAAAAAAAGAAAAGCAAGTTGGAAAGAAAGTAATGAAGACAATGTTGGGACTTGTTATGAAAAAGAAAAGACCTTTTTATTATAGACTTTAAGTAGTTAAATAAGCAGCTTACTTCTGTTCGAAGTAATAAGACAGGTTGTACTTAGGTACCATTAAGGTGGCTAGGTAATGCTAGACTTAGATATTAAAGATATTTATGTAGTTACAAATATAATTTCAAAAATCTAATAAAGTACTAGCATAACTGCTTATATGTTTAAAAAAAAATATATATATATATATATTTATTATTAATTATTAGTTATTAGTTAACTGATAGTTATATTATATTAGATAGATAAAAAGATTTTAATTAGTTATTAAAAATGTAATAATATCTATAATATTATTATTGTCTTACAAATCTCAAGTACTTTTGTACAAGTTTTATATTTCTTAGTATCAAATTATTGTGTTAAGTGCTATAGCACAAGAATCTTAAATATTTCTAATATAAACTCTAAGTGTTCTTGCATAAACTTTAAATATTTTTATACAAATTTCAAATACCTTTTTACAGATTTAGTACTTTAACACAAGCACTGAATAACAGTCTTATAAGACTGTTATTTAGTTACATTATAGTGTTATCTAGTTAGACATTATAGTCTAAAAATTTATATTAGATTATGTTCATTTTAAATAGATTATATCTGTTCCAAGTAGATTATAATTTGTAAAACTGTCTTCAGGTATGTGGCCAGTTATATAGTTTCTCTTTTCTAGGTCACCTGACTAATTAAGAAAGAAAATGCATGATTCTACCTTTTTTGGCATGTTTGGAGATTATTTTAGATGTTATCTTGGCCAGATTCTATATTGAGATGTTTACTTTTTTGTGTTTATTTGGTTGCTTATCAAAATACCAAAATGTGATAAAAAAAATATTGTGTTGGGTAGTATAGTAAATTTATGTTTAAATTTGTCTAGCATTATAGTATAATTCTGGCTAATCTTTAGAATACGTATTTTGAGAATCCAACTTGGTACCATAGTAATGATCTGATAGTGTTTAGAACTATTGTAATACTGGCAACAAACTAGTAAAGAACCAGAAAGGCTCTATTAGTTTGCCAGTTTTAGATCACTTCTTGGTTGCTGAGTTATTGTATCCAAAAATTAGGCTGAAATTATGAGCTGATATTATTGTTAATTTACAATACCTTCAGTTCCTAGCACCATTCTTTGGTTAGTTAATTAGAGGTATAATGTGACAATACTAGCTGTCTCTATATGTTCCTATAAGAAAAAAATCATAAAAACATCCTTAGAAACAATCTCAATATCAATTTTGGGATTCTTAATTTGATTTAATTTATTCTTTATTACTTGTCCCTATGTCTCTATAAGTTTCTATAAAATAAAAAAGTTTCAAAAAAAAAATTTGATTTTTATAGTATATTATCTTTGATAACTGTATATGCTTATAGATATGTTTGATATATAGTTGATGTATGCTATAAAAAAAATAAAAAAAAAGTAAAGAAGTTTGAATTTTCACAAGGACTCATAAAGTTATAGAGATAGTAATAAATATGGCTTTTCAGGATTTTAAAAATATTAGTTTGCTATCTTGAAGTGTTCTTATTAAGTTTTTTTGTCATTCCTATAAATTTTTTATAGAATACAGAAGATAGTTTTTATAGAGACAAATTTTTTTAATGAGTTGGTGCACTCACTCTAGCTAAAGCATAAACCCTCTAGTTTCTAAAGCTGGATTGGGCATTTTTGATCCAAGGATATGCATGTTGGATATGATCAATATATAGTAGTAAATTCCATTCCAGTTATTAGGACAATTGGAATGGAACTAGAACAGAATTTGATATAGAAGAAAAGCTTTTTTCTTTGATTTAACTTGTTCTTTTATACTATGTCCTAGTTGTCCTAGTTGTTATAGTAAAAATAAGAATTCTAGAAAAAAATTCATAATTTATCCTATGCTATATGTTCATAGTATATACTACTATATGTATGATATATGTTAGTATGCTTATAGGAAAAAAGAAAAAAAAATAATAAAGAATCATGCATTTTATTTGGACAACTGGGACAACTAGGACAGCTATTCAAATTTTTTTTAATTTAGCTTAATATTATTGTTTAGCTATATTTTTCTGTTTAGGTTTCCATCCCAGCTTGTTCTAGCAAACTAGAATGGGTTTTCTGAGATAGTTTGCTAGTAGAATTTATTCTGGATTTTTGCAAGCTTTTGCCAATAATAGTATTCCATATTTTAGTACTTTTCTGAATATTTTTTGCATATATCATATGCAGAAAATATAATTTCATCACACTCCTTACATGGTACATATTAGAAGGATTTTCAGTAATAACTGCATTCTTTAGACCTATAACAACTCTGTTTACAGACTTCTCTACTTCTAAGAATGTATTCACAATGATAAAATGCTATTTTTTAAGATGGTTTCTTTTTATGCTATAAATCGATATTGGTTACTTTTTAGTAGGAAATTAATTTTTATTTTAAACTTTTTCTATACAGATTTAGTATTTCTTCAAAAAAATATTTAATACTACTATGATCCAATCTGAGCTTTTAGAGAATTTGGACAGCCCTACTCCATACTATTGTGAGTTAAGAGCTTCTGATATAGATGCATGCTTATATAAAATTCATGATGATAGTGTTAGACCAAGGAATTTTCTAGATATAGACAATAAGAATAGTATCGAAGCTATACTCTCAGATCATGAAGGCTATTCATTATATGAATTTATTGGTAGTGATAAGTTACTTCATCCTATCATAGATTTTGATTTGCCAATAGAAACACTAAATGCTATTATTCTTAAAGTTTCGCATAAAGAAGTCTCTAAAGCTATTCAAATAGCCTTTAGAGATGTTTGTCTGGAAATACATCCAAAGTAAGATAAAAAAAATATAACTGTTACTACTAGTACTAATGCAAAAAAAATATTCTTTCACATTTTACTACTAGTATAAGGCTTAAGAACATTGCTCAGGTCACAGTATTCATTAAACTTGTTCACAAAAAACTCTAGGTAGGATTACAGAAGAAAAGTATTATTAATAACATTGCAAATAAAAGGTCTTTCTTTTTGCAGATGCTTGGATCACTCAAGTATAAGAAAGAAATAAAAGAACATATTCATATAAAAAAAGCTATCTATCCAAAAGATGAAATGATCTTTGACTTTATGATTTGCTTACCAAATAATGAATCAGAAGTCATAGAAAGCTCTCTTTTAGATGTTTTAGAAAATATAAGCAGAAGAAAATACTCTATCATGAGTAATATTACTACTAAAGCTGAATTCAAGTTGGCAGAGATATTGCTTAAAGAGGCCAATATTGAAGACTATAATCTTTTATTTCTGTCAAAAAATTTCTCTGATAAATTTTCATTATCATGCATTTCTTCATCATATTGCCTATTATGTAATCAAAAACACACAAGTGATAATGCATATATTATATGAAATAAAAAATCTTATAGCTTTTTCTGTTATCGTGCAAACTAAGAAAAACAGCCTGGTATGAAAAACCCTTCATTAAAGCTTACTATTAGCAAAACAGCTTTAGATAGAGAAAAAAAGCTTTCAAGTCCTGCAAAACTAAGCTAATCCAAAATTTCAGATCCTAGTGATCACTTTGTATGGAGTAACTTACTGTGTATATGTACCTCAGATAAAAAATTCTCTCATATAGTTGTTTATAAGGCAATTCAAGCAACGATCACTTGTGTTCAGAAGAAAATAAAAACATGAATTCTTAAACATAGAAATCCAAATAGTAAACTTATGTTTAACATAGGGCCTAAACTAGATATTGCAAATTTTACAATTAATATAATAGAACTAGAGAGTAAAACTGTAAAATTAATATCTTTAATTAATTATGCCCTTATAAGTAGTGTAATACATTATGATGATATCAATTTTCTTCTATACTCTCCAAACATTAATTCACCAAAAACTGAATTTTTTAATCTTTTCTTAGAATTTAAGGCCAAACCAGCATCTTAAATTAATTATGATCTTGTAAAACCCATTGTTTGGCATATAGAAAATATCTGGTATAGTAAAGATAAAAATCTTTCTGAATATGTTCTAAAATGGCTTGCATTTCTAGTTTAGTATTCAAGTATAATTCCTGAGACAATTCTTATTTTACGCTCTTTATCATGATGTAGGAAGAATATTATTACTAATTTTATTTGAAAAAGTTTATTTAGGCCAAACTTTGTATTCTTGACTTCTGATCTAGGGAAGATTCTTGGATGGTTTAATAGCCCTATTCAAGTATGAAAACTTATTATTATGAATGAAACAGGAATGACTAGTAGTGAATAGTATAAGGCAAATGATTATTTAAAAGCCCTTATTACAGAAAACTATGTCTCAATTGAGTACAAAGGCCTTAAATCCCAAGATTGTAATCATTTTGCTAGATTTATGATTTTAAGTAATTATAATGTCTAATTCGAATAGAAATAAAAGATGGATGTATTATATGTTTAGATGTCTCTTCCTGCTGTAAAAATAATTTTGCATATTTTGACTAATTAGGAGAGATTTTCGAGCACCATGATATGCCTGAATCTTTTATATTATATCTCTTAGTCTTAATCTTTTTGGATAAAAGCCATGTAAGATTTCTTTAACCAAAATAAAAATAGAAACTATGCGAGACCAACTACCTAATTCCATTCGATTCATAATTAATTATATTGCATCATGGTCTGAAGATAAAGTAACTAAGCTAAGTAGCAATATATTAAATCAGAAATATTTTAATTGATGTAGAGGCAATGAAAAAAAACTATTTTCTAACAATATTCTTAGTAAGAAATTCTCAGAGATTAATATTGAATACAAGAGGCAAGTGGTAGAAAAAAGGAATGGCAATACATTCTTGATCACTTTAAAATCATAACTAAGCTTCATAAATCTGGCCTAGATAATATTAAAGAATTTTTTAATATACCTCAATCCAACTTACCTGAAAATGGGACAACAGACATACCCATATTCAATATGCCAAAATTTATTCCTTCAAAAATAATCCACCTCAGGCAGAAAAGAATCTCTCTTCTAGTAATAAGAAAGCAGATAAACAGAAAAATCTAATCTAAGCTCTATTCGACTATGTGAAAAAAGAAGCTAAAGCACCAGTTGCTTTAATATCTGAGACTTCTGAAACTTCTAAAATGTCTAACCTACCTGAGCCAAAAATCGTTAAGTGGTCTCAAAAGGACCAGCTTGAAACTAGTAAGCTTCTTGAACCTATTGAGCTTATAAGTGGAGTAGTACCTGATATACCTTATAAAGAAATTAATTCTTCCAAGCCTATTAATGAAATATCATCTGCTATACTTTTAACCAGAGCCTAGCATAAAGAGCACCTCAGAAAAAGGGCAATTGAACTTGGTAAAGACCCTGATAAGTTCATGACCATTACAGAAAAAGACAGGCTTAATTCTACCATATTTTATTATAAAATGAAAATGAATGCATGAATGTGCAGTTATGCAAAAGAGAGTAAAGAAGACCCAAATGAAAATATGGAAATGACAGTATAAGAAAGATTAATAGAAGAAGAGATTATTTAGCCTGAACTCAAAGAAAAAGAAATCACATTCTCATGGCTCAATACCAATAGGAAATGCTAAAAAAATATAAGCATACTTTAGAAAAATGTTATGCTTTGATAAAAAGTGAATAAGAAGCCAGTTTACAAATAAAGTATTTGAATAAGAGGGTTCTTTACAATTAGGCAAAATAAAATTTCAAACTATTAATTATTTTTTTTAAATTAAAAAATAACTAGATTAATATATAACTAGATAATACTTACTATTGACATAGCTACTAAGACAGCTCTTTCAAAAACCCAAAAACCTAAAGTTAATAACTTTGTATTAGTCATAAAGCAGTTCCTAGAAAAGCATAATCTGATAGCTGACTCTACTCTAGAACAATTAAATGAACATGCTTCCAAACTTGATGTAATACTTCCTGATTAAATGGCTTGCAGGTGTGTTAAAGTTGCTCTTGCCAGAGGTATTAATAACAGACACTCATTTAGTAAAGAGTAGATAGAGGCTCTCTTATCAGATAAGAGAAAAAAAAAACTCATTATAGAGAAAAGAGCAAAATATTGTACTAAAATCGGTGATGTTATGGACATTTTCATCTATTATTTAGATTTAGGCCCAAAAAATAATTATGAAAATGAAATAGTCACTAGTGGTTTATGCTAGTTGCAAATTCATGTGAAATTAGCAGAAGGCAAGGTAAGTCCTAAAATTATTAATACCTATGCCAAAAATTCAAAACTTATTCAAAAGTCTAATAAAATTTAGAAAAAATAAACTAAAAAATGAATAGCTAATCTGAATAGAATTCCAATATAACAAGAGTGCTTAAAAAGATTCAGAATATGGATGTTTCTAAAATTTTATTTAAAAAAGATCTTGTGGATATAATTGTGATGTTGAGTATAAGACCTGCAGAAGTAAGATCTCTTCAAATTTTTCACTATGAACCAGATCTTTTGAATGCTCCAGTATGATATAAAGAAGGTTATTCTTGATACTGTACAGACTATTTAAAAAGTAGAAGAGAAAAGAAAAAGAATCCCGAGCCCTGATCATTTTTTTTTATAAAGAAGAACTCAGAACATGCAAAGGAATTGCTTACTTGGATTCAAGATACAATTAAGGTTAAAAAGTTATCTGACTCTGTCTTTACTAAAAATAGAACACATAATGCTTAGCTATTTAATGAGTTCTTAAAACAAGAACCTTATAAAACCATACCTAAAAAATTAAGAGATTATGAAAGTAAACATGCTTCTAGAATCCATAGTGGTAAGAAACCAATATTTCAACATCTTAAACTGCTATCAAGAATCACAATGAGGCAAGAATCAGACCATCTTAATGCAGGTGATAATTACACTATAGGCAATACAGAATCAGAAAAGTCTGACTCTGAACCAGAGACAAGTAATAGTTTAAAACCTCAAATACAGGCTTCTTTGTTATCTTAAACAATAGAAATAGATTCAATGTTAGCTAAAATTGATGCAATATTAGCTGAAATTTAGAAATAAATACCAGAAGGGTCGAGTAATAAGCACTTGTTTAGAGAATTTTCACTGAGCTCTTATGAATGTGAGACTTAAATTGTTTACCATTTTTCTAATACTATTCTTCTTTTTTCTTGCAAACTTGAAAAAAGATATATGGTTAACTGTTTCAGAAACTAAAAATCTGTTAACTAACTATATCTAGCTTTGAGCAAGAATTGCAAGAAAGTAGAATTACAATTGAGAGATATATTTTTATATTAATAATTTTTTCTTATAAATTGGCAGTATTGAAGTAAAATAAAAATATATAAAGTGTATATCTCTTCTCTTCACTAATTATTCATGATTGCCAGTAGATCGATTAGTCCTTGGCTCATACTAAATAATTCATGAATGAATAGATCACTAAATCTGAAATTAGGATCTAAAATTATTTTTTTTAGTCATAAAGAATATACTATAAATAAGCTAAGTATAAAGAATTTTATTATAAAAACTTATCTGTACTTGCTTCACTGATATTATCATGTCCCTTGCTAATCTTCAAAATCTCACTCTTAATATTTTAAAAGAAACAAAACATAGTGCAGTACAAAATATTGACATTACAGAATTGTCACCATGTAAAATATATAATAAAAAATTTTAACGTTAACTTTGAATCACTTACAATACTTTCATGCAGTCATGCTTATTATAAGAAATGTATTGAAAAAAATTTTTTACTTATGGAAGAAAACAAATGCCTTATTTCTGATTGCAACAAAATTGTTAATCCAGTAATATTTGAATGAAGGTTTTCTGAATCATTTCAGTCTAGTAGAACTTCAGCTATTGCAGATATGTTAGGCAATAATCTTGGGTTAAATTCACTAATAAATGTATCATCATTATTGGAAAATGAAATACAAAAAAAGTGTGTTGGGTGAATCTACTAACAAATCATCCAGTAAGAAAGCAAAGAAACAAGTTTTAAAGGAAGATTCTTCTATATTAAAAAACTTATTGAAAAATTAACATCAATGGTACCTAAAAATTCTGAGAAAGTAATAGAAGTTAATAAAAATACAAATAATTTTTTATACTATTATAACAAAATTTTACAGGCTGAATCTAAAAATGAAATAGCAAATAGAAATATAATTGAATGTTATTTTAACTTTGGTGTAGTTTTAAAAAAATGATTTGATCATTACAAAAATATAAATTATAAAGAACATGCATGTTTAGCCTTGGTTAATGATGAAATCTGAAAATAACTTCCTGATAATATCACATATAATGTATTAAAAAAAAGAAAGGAAAGATCAGAAAAAATATATAATTTATTTGTTAGTATTGGTAAAGAGAAAATAAGTAGTATTAGATCATTTATGGCATCAAACATTTCAAATCTGAGTTAAGAAAATATTGATTATATAATCATTGAAGTTTTAAAAAAAGAAGGTAAAATTTGATCACTACTGCATTACATTACTATGTCAGTAACATGGATATTACATCTGAATTTATAAAAATTATATATGATATTAACTATCAGATTCCACTTTAATTATTAAAACACTTTATAAAAGTTTTGCCCATATCAGGCTGGTAATTTTTAACCAATATATTAATTACTTATTACTGCACAAAGTGAACTGATCCTATATCGGGCCTAGTGACATGTGTTAGAATTATTTCATATATAAATTTATTATCTTACAAGGATTATCATTATGCATAACTTATTTGTGAAACAGGGCACAATCTTAAAGTGCCATTTTTTATTTCAACTGAGGCACTCTGGCTGAAATTAGTACACTAATCAAAGTTGGTTAATTAATTCATGCCACATCTATTGTGAAGAATTCACTCTGGATCACAAAGTGCCACACATTACAGATTTGTATAATAAAAAATTTTAGCCATGTATAGATTTTTTTTCTGTTAATATATAATGATGAAAGAAAAAACAAATTTACTTTGACAAGTGGCATATCTATAGAGGGTGAAAGCATGAGTGTAAGGTTTGTAATGAATGCAATTATTATTCATACCTATATTGCAAAACCTGCAAAAAAGTAGTAGATAGAATATATAAGTGATGTGAATGTGATAACATGTTAGAATAAATTTCACATATGTATAAATTTATCTGAACTATAATACCTTAAAAGGCTTATCATTATTCATAACTCATGTAGAATGAGTAAAAAGTACTATTTTTAAGTTTTTCTCAAAATAGTATCCTAATCTAAATTTGGTCAACAATCTCATGACACATATGTTATCTGTATAACCAAATCTTTATATGAATTTTTTTGAATTTTATTTACAAACATTATAGGAAAAATAATATTCAAGCTTTAGATCTACTTCAAAGCTGGTACTAAAATTTATTATTTTTTTTAACCCATCTTCTTGCAATACTTGCTTTAAGCCAAATATAATTAGTTAACTATATATCTTTTTTTTGAACTTGAGAGAAAAAAAGAATGAAGTATAATACATAGCAATCTTTCTCTATGCCATAATGCTGAAGATGTCAAGATCTTCAACATGCATTCCACATGTCTAAGGTTCACCCTATGACCAATGTAATATAATATAGAAGGTAAAAAAAATAGTATAGAGCACATATAGGTCCTTTTTCTGCATTGTTCTGCCATTTGTATTGCCATTCAGAGAAGAGTGAATTCCATTTATAAAGGGGAGTATAATGAAGTTATGAGAGTTCGTTGCTTTATAGTGATTAAAAAATCAAACTAATACCTATTACTTTCAAAATGTTTAATACTACTAACTTCTTTTACCACAACCATAGTGAGACATATAGAAAATTATATTTTAAGTCATAATTACCTTAAGTGTATTTTCCAACTATAGAGCTATTGAAAAAGAGTATTCTCAAAACAGCAGTAAAGCAATACACTGATAAGCTCAGCAATGCTATAACAATGTGTAAGCATCAAAAATTAGGTAACATTGTAAAAAAGTAGAACAAATATCTCAAAAGTTTTTGAAGATACCCTGGATAAGTAGTTGAAAATAATAATCAATTTATATTTCTATTAAATAAAATGATGTTTTTAATAGTATGGTTAAATAGACATAGGTTTATGTCAATGCCCTGTATCTGGATGTGCACAACAATTATAAGTGTATGCCTTAGCTTTGCAGAAAGTTGACTCTGTATTCATCAAAGGATTCAGATGCATGAGTTTTACCATTTAAGCAATTTGCTAAGTTCAATACAGGCAATGCCTTCAAGTATCTTGTCATTATCTGTTAGCATGTTAACTCACTAATATATATTAAATATGAAATACATCTATAGCAATTCTGATTTTTGAAAATATTTTATAGTATATTTATTAAAATATTCTAGTAGTTTAATTTATTTATTACATACTTATAGGAACAATGACAAGAAATGTTTAGTGAAGCATATTAGGTGAAAAAAAGATAGATAATTTCTATTGATCTATTTTTAATGATATTCATTATATTTGGCTAATCAAAAATACAGTACTTCTGATTTAGTGTAAAGAACAAGAAAGACAGCAGAATCAAAAGATTATCTGAAAAAATATTGCTAAAATAATCGATAATTGTGTAAGTAAAAAATACAAATATGCATTCTCACATCTTATTATTTTTTAAAGTCCTAATATTGAAAGTTAAGAGAGTGTTAAACGAAGTTTGCAGGTGTTTAGAACAGCTTAATTTGACTTCTATCGATTCGAATGATCTAATAGCATCCAGAATTATAGATATTTCTGAAGAAGTAGATAGCGTGGCAGATAAGTTATTAGTAGAGACTAAACAGATTCTTAAGGAAATTGAATTAAGTGAACCAGAATTTTCAGAAAAAATGATCATGATGCTAGATGAATTTATTAATATATATGAGTTATTGGGTCCCAATTATGATCTGACTCTTATTAATCCTATTACATTCCCATGAGACAAAAATAATTTGGGTAAATGTAGGGTTTTATTAACAACATTCAATCTATTAGAAGGGCTGTAAGTGGAATAATACAATCAATCATATTTTGCATTTCTTGGTTAAATTAATTATCTGCTTAATTTATAAGAGAAATTGTTGGAGTTTGAAATCATTATTAGATAAAAGAGAGTATAGCGAAAACTTCTACATGATTCATGCAGTTTCCAGAGTTGTAGATCTCATCTTTAATTATTATAAATAGAATCTTAAATGATCATAGTATAATATATTAGCACCTTGTGCCAACTCTGCTGAAATGTTCAAACTTTTTTGCTTCTATTGTTACTTCTTATTCAATGATATAGTTAACAATGTTGATTTTTTTAGAGAAAAGATGTCTAATTCATTTCAAGCATAAAAAGATTTGATGTGTTCTATCCATTCTGAAGATAGGCCAGACTTGCAAGTTCTTCTAATGCTAGACTCAGATAAGTGAAAGTTAGTATTTACTGAGATTTCATGATTAGACCCTCATGCAAATAAGCAGAGCAATAATTGGAAGAAATTGAATCGTCTATGTAAAGATGGATTTGATGCTAGATTCAACAAATTAATTAAGAAGAAAGTTGTTAATGCTGATAAAGCTAAGTGTCTGATTAATAAGCTTCTTTAAATCTCTTTCATAAAAATCCAAGTGTTAAGTAATTATATGCTAGTTTTTGAAATTGATTTTTACAATAATTCTTTTTATTACTAAATGTCAGGTTGTGGAAAATTTTTTGAAAAGTTCATTGAAAGTAAAGTATTATTTAGAAAAAATAGTTAACAATTTTGTGCAGATTAAGGATAAAATCGATCGTTTGCCTAATATAGTTAGAAATGAAAGATCGAGATCTAGCATATCAATGTTTACAACATTTTAATAACTTATATATTTTTTATAATGTATCACCAAAGGGGTTGGGTCCTATAGCTTAGCAGTTAAGCTCCCATACCCCCCACAGTTAAGGTTAACGGTTCAAGTCTGGCTGGAGGCAAAATCTAAAAAGATTTTAGTCTCTGTAACCAAAAGGAGCCTGTAATTGAACACGAAGCCCTGTGGTTAAGTCCAAGTGCAGTATATGATTGAAATAAGGAATTCCTAGAAGAAGACCAACCTTGCAAAGTGTGGGCACTACGTGTGCGACAGAAGCACAGAAGGTTCTGTTACACAAAAAATTGCGCAAATAAGTCCACTAGGAGACATGTGGCAGTACCAACATCTTTGTACTTATTAGCAACTTGGATGGGGCATCTGGGGTCGTAACCCTGTAATTCTGGTTGTATCAAAGACTCTTTGGGAGTGTGCCTGAGGAACACATAAATAAATCCGGAAAGTATATACTGAAAAGGAAGCTAGTAAAGAAGACTTGATTGGGAGAATAATATCTAAGGTAACACAACTAGAGTAGTGAGAGAAGCGGTGCATGCAAAGAAGATCTGTAATAAAGGATTAGCTATTTCAAGATTAGAAGCACCTCTGGCACTGTGGAACATCTAAAAATAAAAGGTAACAAAAATTGTATAGAGGATGTAGCCTGTTCTGTATGTCTAAAAGTGTCAAGCCAGAGCTCTGGTCATACCTATATGGGAGTCTATGACAAAACAAGAGAAACATACCAACATAAATGCCGTACCAATTAGGGTTGAGATACCTACAATTGGAAGTAGTAGCAATACTATGATGGCTAATGGCTGGAAGAGGTTACTCAAAAACACAGTTCCACTTATACCATAAAAGGAAGTACTTAAGGGGCAGATTAGGTATACAACTCATTGATAATGACGCTAAGACCAGAATAGGTGCAAACTAGTAGTGGCAGCAGAGAACTGGCTTGAGATACATGCTACTAGTATCTGAATTGGGAAGTTAGCAGCAGCAGCAGAACCTTGGCTTGAGATACGTACTGTAGAAAGGTGTCATTCTGGCAAACCAAAGATGGTAGCTCATAAGGAGCGAATGACTCGGCAGACCAATTTGGAAGTTGTTTGACAATAGGTTGTGAGACATGAGAGGAATATGCAAGGTTACTGAATATAATTAAACATGAAGCAAAATCCAGGTTATGTATGAGTGGGACACGATATACAAAACTTTGGTAGGTTTAGGTTACAGATAAATTAGTCTGAGTTCTATTTTGAAATAGGTATATAGAGTAATAAATAATGTATAATATAAAAAGTTGTACAAGTTATAACAATATATACTAATAAAGATCTGGGGCATGACCTCACCTTAATGTTAAAAAAAAAAAAAAAATAATGTATCACTAAATAAAAAAGTGTAATGTTTTATTGAGCAAATCCTTTTTTTATAATTTTTTTTATTTTTCTTATCATATTAATAAAGCTGGCCCTGATGGCTAATTTCACATATATAATCAGTTTACTTTTGCATATGTATATTGAGTGAATTTATTTATTGTATTGATATTGATGTCTATTAACTTGCATATGATCGAGAATTTTTAGCACCAAAGGTGTGTCTCTTTGAGACAAAAATATTTCTTGGTAAAAGTGATTTTATTAAATAAGTTTTGAACAAATATTTATCTTATAAAAATATTATCAAACATGCATTTCGAATTAGATTTATTGAAAACCCATATTGCTGAGCTTGAGGCTGAAAATGCAAAGCTTAGACAGACCATAAAAGAAAAATCTGATCTTAAGACTGAAAATTCCAAGCATAAAGCTAAAAATGCTAAACTTAAAGTTGAAGTAGCAAAATTAAGACATGACATTGAGAAAATCAAGCTACAAATCCAAGTTAATGCTAATGAACAAGATGCATCTTTTATTGAAGATATTTTGCAGTTCTTAGCTTGTTTAGAATTACTAGTAACCCTTAAGGCCCAAAGGCTAAAAGCTAAACCTGCATCATTAGAAGATAAGAAGATTAATGAATTTCTGGATTCAAAGTATAAGGAAAAGGTTAGTAAAGAGATAATTCAGATTATTAGGAAGAAGAAGCTTTGAACTCAAGACTTAGTTAATCAAGATACTTCAAAGTTATCTGAGTTATTGTATGATGCAAAAACTACTAAAATTGTTAAAAATCAAAATACAGGTTTCTTATATAATACAAAGAATGAAAACCCAAGCTGTAGTCAAAATATTATTACTGAGTATTAACTGTGTAACCCCAGGTCTCGCTCTAACATACCTAAAACTTCATATGATCCAATGTCTTACATCAATATAACTATGAATGATTTCATGCAAAAAAACTTCAATCCAGAAAGATAGCCAGATCAAGATGCAAAAATTTATACAAGAATTATATTTAGAACCTGCCTCAGAGGAATCAATCAAAGTTATTAGTAGAAATAAAGAGTCAGATATACCAGTTCACACTAAAAATGACAAATATATAGCCATCAAATTGGCTCATTTATATCAAAAAGCAAGAAAGGCTAAAAAGAATACTGTATATGCTAAACGAGAAGAGATTTTAAATTGGTATTATTATATAAAAGGTTTCAAAAAAAGGGTTGATGATATCTTATCTATTTGCTGAAATAATAAAAGAGTAGATAACTTGGCAAGAATTCAAGTTTATGATGAAATCTGAAATTGTCTTTCTGGCATCTTATATGAAAATTTTTACAAGCAAACTTAAAGAGCTTATAAGATTTATAGATTATTTGATGGCATAGAAATAGAAAAGATTAAACAGATTAAATCTTATAGTGCCAATAAGATATCAAAACTCACTAACCCTCAAATTCAACATATTATAGATTATTTTGCAGATGAATCTTATAAAAAGATTATAGTGAAATGTCAACTGCACAACCTCAGATCTTACCCTTACATAACTAAATTTTCTAACTCAAATGATTTATCAGAAACTGAGATATATATATGCATATTTACCAAATCCCAGATCACTAACTCTTCTGACTCAAAAACTAAGATAAGTATATCACTAGAGAATAAGATAACTAAAATAAATGCACCACTCATACCTCAAGTAAATACACCTGCAAATGTATTATCTGCATCTTAACCTAATAATCTAAAGAATGATCATGCTTATTTTTGTAACAAAATATTGGAGCAATATTCTAATCTATATAGAGAATTTAGTAGTGAAAATTTTAATTATTATAAAATCACTGATAATATATCATGCCCATTATGCAAACTAGATTATGATAATGAAGAAAGTATAAAAGGTAGATATAAAGCTGAATCCTATTTTATTAAATATGAATAGCATGAAATTGAGATAGTTGCATAGTTTGATCAATTTGGCCAAAAGCACTTCACATAACTCTATATTTGTTTATGCTTCATTGTAATATTTTTAGAGGGCTAATTTATGTCAACTATTGCCTACTGTAATTTAAACTAATTTGCAATCATATAAAAAGGCAATATAAGGAAGTCTGATAAAATATTAACTTCTTTATATCTAGATTGGCATGCCAAATTAACTAGTTTACTAAGAGTTTTGATAGATAAGAACTGTTCTAATTTATACAAAAAATATGAAAGAAAAACAGAACTTGAGCCATAGCAATTATTAGGAGGTCACCTTATAAATTTGAAGCCAGAAAACAAAGTATCAGATTTATCTTTTTCTGAGCAATGTAAAGAAAAAGAGCCTATTATGTTCAAAGCCAAACCTGATCCAGAATTAATTATCAAATCCATGTTAGAGTATTTCACATACTTGAAATTCCAAAATAGTTTTAGAGAAATTAATAATTATAGTTTCGTATCACCTCAGCTGTGGAGCTCACCATGTTCTATTTGTAATAGAAAACATGAGAATTATAGACTACATAGTGAATGAAATAGAAATGGAACAGAATATTGCCTTACCTGCAACAGTTTAAGCAATGAATTCAAGTTCATGATCGTAGCATAGACTAGTATTAACACATGATTGTATAAATGTTGAAAGACTTATACTAGAATCTCAATATAACCATAATAGCATAGATTAATATCATTTTCTCGCAAGCTCGAAAAAAGAAATGTAGTAATCAATTCAGGGTTCATCTACTTCCTGGCTTTGAGTGATAAAATCACAAGAAGGCAGTTTGCAAATTATATTGTAAAAAATCACATAAAAATAAAAAATAGTGAGGTCTAACCTCCTTTCTTTATTTAATAAAAAATTGTTGCCAAAGCAACAATACGCAAATAAAAATATTTTTTTATTTATATAATAAAAATATTTTTTTATTTATATAATTAAAAATACATTGTTGTTACATAATACAAATACAAGAAAAAAATATTATTTCTTTGGTTTTACAATAATATGAACTTGATTTGGATCAAAAGTTTTATTTTTAAAATAATCAAACATTTTAGCTATCAAATTCTTAGGAATGATAATATAGAAATCGGAATCTTAATAAGCTAAATTCTTAACTGCATCTTTAAGCACTACAACCTTATCTTTCTTGCATATCTGAATATTAATATGATTACCATCTGGAAAAAGACACTTAAGGCTAATAGGATTTGTGATGGTCATTTTACATACCTAAATACAAAAAATTATAGTAAGTAAAAAATCATTTTTATAGACTGTATTAAATAGTAAATACATTATTTTAAAAATAAATTATAGGCAAGTGAATTAAGTAAAAAATATATATGAGCAAAAAATAACATTATTACTAACTTATCTTATAGGTGGGAACTTGCTTATTTTTATACTGTCTATTTACTAAATCTAAAAAACTTGTTAGAAAAAAAAGTTACATGATTAGTAATTGTATTACCCAAATTCAATGCCAGTTTTTTCTCTATAAAACAAGTCTATTTGGTTATAAGCATTATATACTGAATCTATTTTGCTATTTTTTTAGTGAAATTAACCTCCTTATAATTGATGATCATTTAAAGTAGGTTTAGATCTGACAATCTCAGAGATGGTAGAGATTCAAAGTTCCTGTAACATATGAATTTTAATAAAACTACTGATTAAGAATATTATACCTATTGCTCTTATAGCCTTTTTAAGTTCTATTTTTATTATGAGATCTTATATAAGGTAAGAAAAAAGTTCTAGAGCATATAGTTATTAATTAAAAATCGATCGTGGAAAATAATTTTGCAGGAGAGTAACACTGTATAAAATTTAATGCAAGCTATTGATTATTAAAGCTGGTCAAGATTTTATTACCTATTCAAATTGATAAACCTGAATATTAAGTGATCACTATTATTATTATTATAAAAAATAAAAATATTAAACTCTGATGGTCTCTGGAAGTCATCAGGGATACGAAATTTATGTAATAAAGAATTTATAAATTTTGTGTGGAACATATGAGACCTTTAAGTCATGATAAAATTATTTTTCTAATAATGTGTAGTTAAAATAGTGCAACATGTATTTACTAAATTTTAGATAACTGCACAATATAAATAGTTGAACCTCATTTTAATTGACAATGTCAAAATAAATTAGGATCTATTCTTTATCACTATTATTATTCTAAATTTGTATATGCTGTCTAGGAATGCTGATGACTCAATTGACTCTATTGATTAATCAGTTTTTAAAATAATAAATATACAAGATAGTTCAAACCATTAGCATCTCTGGTGCTGACAATATTCACTTTATGTAAATAACACACATATATGTTTACAGGTTTTTCTTGAATCTAACCTGTTCCACAACCTAAATTTATCTATATGGGTATATGTTTATTCATGGCCTTCTGCCTATCTAAATTTGTAGAACTGGGCAGTGTTGAATTAATACGATGCTAAAATAGTATCAATTCATTACAGTACCTAATATAGCAACATACAATTAATTATTGTTGTGTTAAATTACTACAGTGCAAAGTATAGTAACTCACAAATTACTGTAAATTGAATTATATATAAAAAAAAAAATATAAGTTCTCTTTTTTTTTAGTGCGAGAACTTATTAAATTAAATTCATACTAATAACATATTTTCCTTTTTTTGAAAGTCATAATGCAAGCATCAACTAATAAGTAAAAAAGAGAGAACAACATAATACAGAATGCATGGCCTACTGAAACCAAATTGTCAAGACAGGCCCGTACACACAAAAACAAAAAACTTAGGCATAATCAAAAACAAACCAAGATGCTTCATAAGTTGGATATTAACATCCTTTTGCTAATCGATGATATTGTCTTTGATCCATCTCGGCATCAAATCCAATCTGTCATCTGAAAAATATCTGCTAATGATAATATTTATTATTTGGAAAGGGAGTGGACAAGTATTCTTCTTTGCTCTTCAGATCAAGTATCAACCAAAAAAAATAAGACTTGGTATGACATATCGGCCAAAGAATTGCTAATTGAAACTCTAATTAAAGAAGCAAAATCCTCTGACAGTAACTCTTTTAAGTTGCCTGAGATTCTGTCAAACTTTCTCTCTCTGATCTATACTGACATTATTAGAGAGACTAATGTCAGCATTGAGGAATCATTGCCTAATACTACTAATAAGCGATTGTGGGTTGCTTTTAGCTAATGGCTAGGCTTAAAGAGGCAGGATAGTTCATTAAAAAGAAAGCATATATGACAGCACCTCAGGTTGTTATAAAAAAAACTTAGGTATGTTCATAATATCCAAAGTGATAAAGACTTTCAAGATCTTTTTGACATAACTACTGCTTTTAATACTCAAAGAGAAAAGGCATGTCTGATCATATCAGCACATCATAATTCCTAATTGATAAGTGAATTGGTCCAATTCAAACATATAGCAGAACCAAAGTGCATTACGGATCTAAGTGGCTGAATATTGGTTCACTTAGAGCAACTTGATAACTACAATGCTGTTATACTTGCAACTAATGCTATAAATAATTATTATTTCTATATATTGGAGCATCTATTACATTAAAGCAATGAATTTTGAACCAATTTTATTAAACATTTTAGGACTTATACCAGAAACAACTTGCTTCCTTTTACAAGCTTCAATACTGCAAGTATGCATAACATTGATCACTATGAATGCATCAACAAATTACTTTAAGGTCTCAAGGCATTATCGGACTGTATCAACTAGTTCCTCTAAGACTATTATAGAGATTTATATATAAAATTGAGCAGACTGTCATGAGGTCTATTTGTGTCAAAGTTTTTTGAAGTTTTCTCAATGATAGCTATTAATTTTAATACCACTAATGACTATCATTGAGATAAGCATAATAAGGCAAATAGTTTATGTGTCTTAGTTGTACTAGGAGATTATGAAGGAGGAGAGTTATGTTTTCCTCAGCTCCAAATGGTCATACATCTTAGACTAGGACAAATCGTAGCATTTGCCTCATGTTTATTACTTCATAGTAATTTTTCAGTCACTAGAGGAATCTGGCATAGTGTTATTTATTTTGTACATAGCATATTTTTTTACCATTTACAGGATTTTACTAAAGCTTATATTAAGGCTAGAATTAAGAAAAGTGCTAATAGACTAATGGTTTCTGAGCAAGATCACAATAATGCTTAGAGTTTGAACTATCGGACCCATCTCCTCAAACTGAAAGCAAAACAAATACAGGTCTCTTTCACTGTATCTAATCAAAGACGAGGATATATAGGTATAAATTGTTTTATGATGCTATATTATATATGAACAAAAAACATAGTTATTAATAATTGACGTTTCTCTAAATTTAGCATATGCTTGACAAGGGTTAAAGGTAGAAGATCAGCTTTCAGATTTATAGTAGTTATGTTTCATATGTGATATTTGTACGTATATCTTCTTTATTAAAGTGTGCTTAAGAAGTCTTATTTCCTTATCACTATTTTCTATTTACATTTCTGCATTGTATTACTTAATCTATTATTATAAGTAAATAACCAAAATTAATTGATACTACTATGCTTATATGATGAATAAGTACCATGGTGAGATCGATCATCAAAAATTCAGAAAAATTATTGCTAAGACATGATTTGTTATATGAATATTTATTAAAGTAAACCCACTCCTTGAAGAAGCAGAATACTGAACTACTGCATAATTAATGTTCTGATTATTTTTTTCTAGGCAATAATATACAGCTCAAAACTAAATATCATTAGCAAATTTATAGATGTGAAATATTTTGAAAGACTTTGCATAGCACAATAATTTCGAAATATTGCAAAATAAATTTTGAAATTTTTGCTAAATGCAAAATATTTTGAAATA